ATTGTGACAATTAATAATTAGATTCCTATTTTTAAATAAAATGGGCAAAAATTCTCTCCTTTTTTTTTTTCCATCTCTCCCATCTTATCCTGTTTGAATGTTCAAGATTTCTTTTTTTTTTTTTTCATCTTTCTTGAGAGAATAGAGAGAACGAAGAGAAAAAAAAAACTATAACAGGTAAGGGAGGGAAGAGGAAAACAAGTGAGGAAAGAAAATCCTCGTCCATAAAAAATACAACTCCGTCATTTTCTTATAAAAATAAAAATAATAAAATTTCATCTAAATTTTTAGTTAAAATTGTCACTAAAATTGAAATAACTATTCAATTTAGCTTATGAAATTTAATAGCGATAGAAATAGTTATTAAGATTGTACATCGTTAATTATTTTTGTCATTTTATAAAATAAAAAAAAATTAGTTAAATTGAAGACACTGCAATTTCAAGGAGAGGTTGATCTAAAAGAAAAAACTTCAATTCAATGAAGATTTCTAACATAAAGACCAAATAATTCACTCTGGACAATTCTAAAGATCACGATCAATTGTAAATCCCAGAGATAGAAGTAAAGAATTATCAATCCGAAGAATATTTTGAATAAAAAGCCAACTAATAAATAAAATGAATGAACTTACTTCCTCTCGTCAATGAAATAGTTCTTAAACAGCTGAATCCTCTTCGCCTTCACTTCCTTGCAGATCTTCAAATACCCTCTCAAAAACGGCCTTAATATCGGGATAAAATCGCCGTAGTTGTAATCGAAGCTCTGCGTCAATCGGCTCCTGTCCCCGTTCGATCCCTTGAGCTTAACGAACAGGGGATCCTCCTCGCTCTCGAATCGCCGATCGAACAGGATTTTGTATACGTTGTTGTACATCATCAGCTGCAGCCGCCTCCGCAGCACCATTCCACTGGTCGCCGCCTCAGGGTGCTTTTTCACATCCTCGACGACCGCAGCCGCCTCCGATTCCCATCCGTAGCGGTACTGCTGGACAACCCTGTTGGTGAAGAAGGGGACGGTCATGATCCGCCGCATATTCCGCCAGTGCACGCCGTAGACGCAGAACACCATGTCCTGGCCTTTACCGTTGAAGATATCAACGACGACGTTTCTGGTCCTCGACCCGAATTCGACTGCCTGGGTGTGGAGCACCTCCTTGGCGAGCTCCGGCGAGGAGACGACGACGAGGTTGCGCTGCCCCATGCGGAGGAGGAAGCAGTCGCCGAATTTCTTGGCGAGGTCTGTGAGATTACGGTGGTTGAGGTCGTCGCCGACTTGGAGCCAGTTTCCGAAAACAGGTACGGGTATGGGACCCGGCGGGAGCTTGAATTTCTTGCTGCGGAGTTTTGAAATGGCGATGGCGACGATCACCGCGAGGAAGAGACCCAGAAGGGTCTTTTCCAGGAGGAAGAGGTCCATTTTTGTGGGTCCGTTGGTGTGGTGAGTAATTTGGTGGGTGCACAGAGCGAAATGCTGAGAATAGTGGTGGTAGAGTGAAGTGGTTTATTGGTAGCTTCAGGTTTCGTGGATGTTAGGTGGGTTAGAGTCCAGATTGTACCATTGAGTTTGCAGAGTAATCAACTAGAAGATATGATTTGGAATTTATAGACTGCGGCTTTTAACTTGCATTATTGCATGAATGACTGTTGGAACTGGAGGGTGACGTATGAATATCAGCTTGTCAAAATTTCTTTAGCATACGATGGCACTGACGATGAATGGATTTGTCCGATTACGGTTTGACTTTTGTCGTAGGTGAATAGTGACCGTGAATGATTGATCTTAATTATTTAAGAGTAATATTACATTTACCATACATTTGCACTATTATTTGTACCGTCTCTGTAATAAAGGTAAGCCGTTAACAAATATGAGTCTCATTTTCTTAGAGAGATAATCTAATGGTAGTATAAACATATGATAAAAGTGGTATTTTTTATTTTTTGTAATCTTCGTCAAAATTTAGGCATCTTAGTAGGCTGCCCCGTCTAAACTTTTGTGGCCATCTTTTACTCATGTTCGCCATCAAGCCAATTACATTGCTCATCGCCTCACGTGCTGCCCTTCTTCTTGGATTTTTTGTTTTTTTTGTAGGCAACGATATTAGTTTATAGATAGAAAGTTCAGTAAAAAAAGGAAAGCTAACAGCCCTAAAAGTACCTAAGGCTACGGTCTAAAAAAGAAGCTAAAATTCAGACATTACAATCAGATGTAAGAATATCAGAGATAATGTTCGGAAGTTCCTCGAACCACGAACAGTTGGTCAAGCTAGAAAAAGCATATCTAGCTGTGCGGTGAGCAGCTTTGTTATTCTGCCGACGGGTATGGGCAGTAGTAGCTCCAATAATTGTAGACAACAACGCCTTGCAATCTTCAACAATGTTACCGATCAAGGAACCATTGGAAAGACCGCTGCGTAATGTTGAGACAATTTGGAGCACATCACTCTCAATAATGATATCATGATAACCCCTCTGAATCGCCAATAATAACCCATTCCGAACCCATTTAGTTAGACTTATGGGGTAGTTATGTGTCGTCAAAATATAATAGATATTTTGACAAATTGGTGATGGAATAACCACATTGATTTGCGACATCCATTTTCAAATAATACATTAATTGATTTTCAATTTCAGAAACCATCTTGATAGGTGAGCCAATTTCATAAAACATTTGTGATAAAAACCCTAAATGATACGAAGATAAATATGAGTTGAAATTTATAGATTGGGCTTATAGCTTGCATTATTGTAGGAATGAATGTTGGAACCCGTGTGTATGACTTTTGTAGCATAGATGGAGGCTTGTCTAAATAATTAATTTTCTCTTTAGCATACGATGACACTACAGATGAATGGTACGATTATTGTTTGACTTTTGTCTTCGATGAATAGCAAACGTGAATGATTGATCTTAATTATTTAATAATGATGCTACACTTATCACATAATAGTACAAATATATGATAAGAATAACATATTTTTATTTTTTAATCTTCATCAAGATCATATGAGTTTTGGGAATCTCGGTAGTATGCACATCTTAACTTGTGTGGTGGAGAATTGCCTTTTAAATTGGAGAGGCTGAGCCACCGGGAATTCAGTATCGACTTGTTCCATAATTCTGTCATGCTTGAAATTATCCCACCATTTCACTTTGATTTATAAGATATTGAGGAGGCTTAGCAATCGACATCCATTTATAAGATATTTTGCTGGGTGAAAGGCTGCATCCCGAAAGGATGTGGGTGAAGGAGTCCATTTTGTTCTAGGTGATGAGGGCAAGTAAAACGGTGATGAATTCTAAGATGAGCTAAAATTTTTCGAAAATTGGTATTAATATACTCCCCACGCCATCAATCAGAAATGATTTGATTTGTGTGCTGAACATATTTTCAACCAATTTCTTAAGGGAAACTGTTTGGGCCCAAAATATTATGATTGGGCCGAGCAGCAGGATGTGCTTGGCCCAAGGTAATAACACATGCTATGGGCCAAATAATGAGACTCGGACCAGCTGGCAGGGTCGGCCAGATCCTATCTTAAGTAGTCCAGATAAATGAGGAAAGGTCGAGGAAATCCTGGTGCAACCAGGATTCTCGACCAGCAAGGGATAAAGCCTCAAAAGGAGGAGAATTCAGAATCCCAGTAGGACTGGGATTGTTTGAGTTAAAGGTGAGATGGGACAAGGACTCCCAATCCAAATCAGAATGGGAATCAAGGAGCGAGGTGCTATAAATACAAGAAATTACGCAATAGAAAAGGACCCTTGACAATCAGCATACAATTGCCCTGCGCAAAACCTCTCAAACACCTTGAGATTTTTCCTTTTCTTTTCCTGCCGACACACCTTCAGTTTGGATAAACAGCACTGTGGAAGCAACCGGTGAGCACCTTCAGTTTGGATAAACAGCATTGCCGCCGCAGAATCAGCCGACCGAGAAACACCTTCAGTTTGGATAAACAGTACTGCGTCGAGGTCGACCGATTATCTATCTAAGTCTCGGCCAAGAAGGGTTTTCGAACCTTTGTTGATGGAGGTCATCTAACTAAGCCTTTTCGGCATAGTTAGGTGTTACGAGTTGCATTGCTCGGCGTATTGGACGTCGAGTGAGTTTATGATTGGATACTCGCAAGTAAGTTTCAGGGTTCGGCATTCCGACGGCCGAACTACGTTTACCATCAAGACATACATCACATTCGAGTACCTGTGCCCATATAGTTTGGTCTCGATTCGGCGTGCTTATACTCTTACGAATATAATCACAGTGACCGAATCAGGGTCTGACGACCTGTGAACTCCGTAGAATTAGTAGCCTTGTCTTCAGGCTATAGAACCCAGAGACCGAGAGCGTTCTTTCCTCGGTCGCAATCGCAAGATACAGAAGTCGATAGCGCACCCAACGCGACATCACATTTTACTCCTCGGCCGAGCTCGGCCGACGAGTTGGCACGCCCCGCATTCAACCGAAGGACGTAATTAGCTCATTAGTTACTCGGCCTGCGCGCCACGTAGGTTTTGTAATTTTTGTAGTCAACAGAAACAAAGTGGTAAACACATCAGATTTTGTGTTCTAAACATATTAACGCCCCGCAACGTGTAGAATGAATGTTTGAATAAACTTGACTCAATAATTACGAGTGACGCTTCACGTTGATTATTCTGAGTTACAAGTGATGAGGTTGTTACAGAAAAGAGTAATCTCTGATTACAAAATACTTCAAATTTACACAATACTTAATGAACTAAGGTCTGGTTTGGTAATGAGGTGATTCTGAAAAAAGCTGGTATCAAAAAAAGCTGGGAGCTGTTTTTGTGTTTGGTAAACATTCAGCTTTAGTTTTTTTTCACAGTTTTGGATGAAAAAAAGCCAAAAACAAGAAGCTGCAAAATCCAGCTTTGAAAAACCGGTTTTTTTTCACATCTGTTTTACATAAAAGTTTACCAAACACTATAATACTGCTTTTTTTTTTTTCAAAAGCACTTTTACAAAAAAGTTTACCAAACACTCTGCTGCTTTATTTTACAGCTGCTTATTTTCACAGCACAGCAGAAACAGCTTTTTTTCAAAGCACAAATACCAAACCAGCCCTAAGAGTAGCCAGCGGTGGTCTGCTGGAGAGTTCGAACTGAAGTCGAACTATAGTGGTGCAGAGGCGCGGAACCGGCAAAATACAAACTGATCTGACACGGACTTATCACTTGGCTTATCAAACCATCCCTTAATTCTAAGTTCATAAATCTAAATAACCAAAGGAGAAGAAAAAAGAAATCATTAATCTACGCCCTCGGCTTCATCACAATGGTGGAGTGCTTCAGGATGTGCAGGCTGAACTGCCCACGTTTCTCCGAGGTGTCGATCTTGGACTGTCCCAGCGGAGGCAGAAGCTCCAAGTTCTGGACTAAACGTCCAATTGTAATCGCCAGGATTGGCAGGGCCAGGATAATCCCGGGACAGCTTCTCCTCCCAACACCAAACGGGAGATACCTGAAATCGTTCCCGTTAGCCTCCACCTTCGACTCCTCCTCCAAAAACCTCTCAGGCCTAAACTCCTCCGGTTTCTTCCACAAGGCAGGGTTGTTTGCCAACCACCAAGCATTCACCAAAATCTTGCTCTCCGCTGGGATGTCAAACCCGCCGAGCTTGGCGTCCTGGAGGTTCATGTGGGGAACAAGGAGTGGGATTGCCATGCGAAGTCGGAGAGTCTCCTTGATCACAGCTTGCAGGTAGGGAAGTTTTTGAATGTCGGGCTCTGTGATCTGAACTCCGCGGCCGAGGACTGCGTCGAGTTCCTCCCTCAATTTCTTTTGGATTTCGGGGTGGTTCACTAGCTCGGCAATTCCCCACTCCATCGACCACAGAGTGGTTTCAATAGCTGCTCAACAGAGAAATGTGACATTAGCAGCCTAAAATTATACAACCATAATTGAATTTGCTCAGAGCTCATAAAACAAAAATTAGGATATTGAAATACAATCACGTGATCAGTTTACATTTTAGGATTATTGACGGGGTTACTGTTATTGTCATATTTGCATGTTAATGTCATGGGGTTGGTAAGAAGAACTGATTTGTTCATAAAATTTAAAATATCAGGTGAAATTAAATTACCATTTCTGTCATCAAATAGATCCATAACAAAAAGATGGTAATTCAGTAAAGATAGATTAACCCAGTTTTAATTTTCAAAGTTAACATTATCAAAGGGATAATGCTAGGGAGACTAAATTTTGAAAACTAAAGGACATGAGAGTTGATAATTGATTTATTACTTAAACGTTGATAAACGTACTCATTCCTATTACTGCCACATCACTTAATTTACAAATTTAATTTTCATAACATTACCCTTATGAAAGCGGAGTGTACTCACCAGCGACATTGATATTGTCAAGGATGTGGTAAATATTGTCGTCGTTGATTTCTCCCTTCTGCTGCCCGTCGAGCATGTGGTCAATGGCGCACTTCAACACTTCGTTTGTTGTTGCCTGTGTGCCTGAAAGTTTCCTGCTCCAAAATTAGAAAGTTGAGTTTGGCTAGCCATTACCCTCGAGAAATACTAAGAAAACTTTTTTAAAGTAGGATTTTCATGGACTCTTTACCATCTCGTGTTTTTGGCATAATTTTTATAATATTAGCACGAGAATTGAACAAAACATATGGGGTTGCAAAAAGTCCATAAAAAGTCATATTTTTGAAAGAGTTTCCTTAACATTTCCCTTTTCCACTTTCATTTTAGTTGTCACACTTCAAAATCACACTCAAGGTTCTAAAAGACATTTGGCTATAGTCAGGCGATAGTCTGAGGCCTAGGTGGATTAGGCAGATTTAAGCAAATTTAGTATATATCGTATATATAAGTGTTTGTTTATACTTAAAAGGTACATAATTACATTGGGATACATAGATTGCAAAATAGAATGATACATAGATTACAAAGTATTAGAACATATGATTAAAAGCATGTAATGTGTACTTATCTAAGTATTCAACAAGTCTCCTTCAATTTATTTTAAAAAAATGAAATGTAAATGAAAATTATATATTTTATGTCTAAGTAAGAATATTGATATAGGTGAATGCCTAGGTGAGTATGGACGGTCTAGTGTCTTTTTTAATTTTCAAATACCTAAAGATTAATCAGGATAGTAGTTAGCCGCTTAATCACTAGGTGGCGTTAATTTGAAATTTTTAGAACAAGGATCACACTAGAGTGTATAAGTGTATGAGACTTAAAAGTCAAACGATAAACCTTAATAATTGCCATGCCACAAACACAAGGCAAAAATCATCTTTTTAAACATATTTATAAACAACATATTGTGACGATTGATGACAAAATTCCTACTTGAATTAAATATGATATAAAAAATATCACCCTGTCATTTCTCCATAAAAATAAAAGGCAACAAATGAAAGTAATTAAAAATTAGAAGGATTTTTGGTTAAAATAATTTATAAAAATGTCATAATTTTTTACTTTGCTATTTAAGATTTAAAATTAATAAAATGATCTTTGAGATTGTTCATTATTAATTATTTTAATCATTTTGTGAAAAAATTTCGTTAAATTAAAGAAAATGTCAATTTAAGGGGATGCGTTGATTTAAAAAATAGACACATGTTAACATAGATGTTTCACATAAAAGACAAAATAATTAACAATGGACAATTTCAGAAAACTTAGTAAAAAAATTATGACAATTCAAGATCATTTTGAATAAAAAGGAACCTATAAATAAAAGTGAGTTTTAATGAAACACTTCTGATACTATTTATTTTTAACAAAAATAACATTCTTACTCTAAAAAGTTACTTCATATGCTATTCACTTACAATAATTTTTTATTATTTTGATTAAACTCAAAATTTTCAAATTCTTATCATTAGTTTTCTTAAATAAAATGATTAACTTACTTTCTCTCGTCAATGAAATAGTCCTTAAACAGCTGAATCCTCTTCTCCTTCACTTCCTTGCAGATCTTCAAATATCCTCTCAAAAAGGGCCTTAAAATGGGGATAAAATCGGCGTAGTTGTAATCGAAGCTCTGCGCCAATCGGCTCCTGTCCCCGTTCGATCCCTTGAGCTTCACGAACAGGGGATCCTCCTCACTCTCGAATCGCCGATCGAACATGATTCTGTATACGTTGTTGTACATCATCAGCTGCAGCCGCCTCCGCAGCACCATCCCATTGGTCGCCGCCTCAGGGTGCTTTTTCACGTCCTCGACGACCGCCGCCGCCTCCGATTCCCATCCTTGGCGGTACTGCTGGACGACCTTGTTGGTGAAGAAAGGGACCGTCATGATCCGTCGCATTTTCCGCCAGTGCTCGCCGTAGACGGTGAACACCATGTCCTGGCCTTTACCGGTGAAGATATCAAAGACGACGTTTCTTGTCCTCGACCCGAATTCGACTCCCTGGGTGTGGAGCACCTCCTTGGCGAGCTCCGGCGACGAGACGACGACGAGGTTGCGCTGTCCCATGCGGAGGAGGAAGCAGTCGCCGAATTTCCTGGCGAGGTCGGAGAGACTACGGTGGTTGAGGTCGTCGCCGACCTGAAGCCAGTTTCCGAAAACAGGTACGGCTATGGGACCCGGCGGGAGCTTGAATTTCTTGCTGCGGAGTTTTGAAATGGCGATGGCGATGGTCACCGCAACGAAGAGACCCAGAAGGGTCTTTTCCAGGAGGAAGAGGTCCATTTTGTGGTGCGTTGGTGTGGTGATTAATTTGGTGGGTGCACAGAGCGAAATGCTGAGAATGGTGGTGGTAGAGTGAAGGGGTTTATTGGTAGCTTCAGGTTTCGTGGATGTTAGGTGGGTTAGAGTCCAGATTGTACCATTGAGTTTGCAGAGTAATCAACTAGAAGATATGATTTGGAATTTATAGACTAACTTGCATCATTGCAGGAATGACAGTTGGAACTGGAGTGTGCGACTAATAAACAGAAGCTTGTCAGAATAGTTAACATTTTCTTTAACATACGTTAGCACTGACGATGAATGGCTTTGTTCGATTACTGTTTCACTTTTGCCTTGGATGAATAGTTGATAAGCTTATATTTATATATATTTTACATCAAATTTATTTGTCTTTTCTTAGTGAGTTTCTTATATTTTTGAGCTATTTACTTTGTTTTTTATGTTTTATAGGATTTGTCAAACACGTGGGATTTTAAGTAACAAATTCGTCAAAATTGCCTGTGCAGTGGAAGCAAGTTGCGAACAGCTTAGAATGCAGTAGAAAATGAGCCTTATATGCTTGGAAATGTCTATTTTCTAGAGCATTTCGCGGATTGTTAACATGCAATGAAAGCAATAAACCCAATAAATTTAGCGGCCAAAACTGATGCAGCCAAGAACAAGTCAACTGATACTTATTCAAATATCAAAGGGAATCGAATTAAAGATGAGGATTAAGAGAGAGTAATTGGCATAAAGAATACTCAAAGAGTTACAATTGTTTTACCATTTCCTCTCACTTATTGTTATCATTAAATGACTGTTAGTGAGTGAGTTAAAGAAAAGAAAATGGGGCAACAAGTTAAAAAGGGAAAAAGGCTGCAGGTTGCAGCGGCAAGGTGGAAGGAATGGGAGAAAAATAGAACAACAAAAAAGGATAAAAAAATGAAAAAGATGTAAAGGGAACGAAAATTTTTAGAGAAAAGGAAGAAGGCAAGGCAGCAACAGGAAGGAAGGAAGAAGAGCCCTCGCTCGATTCTTCTTTTTTTTTTTCTTTTTTTTTCTTTTTTTGGTAACACCACTCACTCGATTCTTTTGGTTCTTTCTTAAACCCATGTTTTATTTTTTATTTAATTTGAGAATTATGTGTAATTAAATTTTTAGTAGTTAGGGGCTGTTTTAAAGTTCCGAATATGATTGCAAGTTTGTTATGACATTTCATTTGAATTACTTTTATGAATTGATGAAAATTAGTTCACTACTTATGTCAGTGATGAATTCTTTATGTGTTTTCTACAGATGCATACTTAGTAAGCATATCTAGGATTCTAATACTAAGAATATGTGTCTGCCCTTGTCGAATGAGGACCTACATATGTTTTAGAGTATTACTTGTTAATTGCGATTAACATGTGAACCAATTTCTAGGATAAGTAAGACAACACTAGTACTTACGATGCCTTGTGATGACTCGAACTCTTTTCTTTCTTAATGATTTCTACTTGTTAAATCTATGAACACATCATTTTAAATTGAATGCTAGAGACTAAGTTGAAAACGTCATTTTCTTAACATACTATATAAGAAAGAGTAATATGTTGAGTTCTAACATTGAGCCAACTTGAGCATCTTCATCTGGAAATAAAAGGAATTTGAATGAAACATAACATGTTTGTATGATTGTTTGGTGGTGGATAGCAATTCCCCTAACACGTTTTTCTTAATTTGTGAACTACTTAATCTGTTTATGTCCTGTTTTTTTTTTCAATTTAATTTAAATAGCAAATCAACTCCAAAAATCCCAAAATTTTGTGTGAGTGTAGCTCTGCGTGTCTAGTATATGTATATAAAATTTCGTAGACTTTAGATAAGTGTAAGTTGGTCTAATAATTACTTTTCGGTGGCTGGTTAGTAGGGACAGCAACTCAGTTTTTGTAACATTTTAAGTAGTTAGATAAAACAATATTCTGTAGGAAATACCTTTATTTTCATATGCTACAATTGACAAATCTTAGTGTTAATAGGGAAAATCAATAGGACATTTGTGTGCTACTTTTGTGGTGTGCTTTTAATCCTATCAATAGTGACTGTGAATGATTGATACTAATTTTTTACAAGTGATGTTACACTTACTACATATTTATATTATTAATTGTACCGTATCTCTAATAAAGGTAAGCCATTAATAAATGTGAATCTCATTTTATAAAAAAGATAGTGCTAGTAGTAGTGATAGTATTAACATATAATAAGAGTAGTATTTTTTATTTTTTGTAATCTTCGTCAAGATCATATGGGTCATTTATCATAGTAGGCTGCCCATCTTAACTTATGTGGCCATCTTTTACTCATGTTCGCCGTCAAGCTAATGACATTGCTCATCGCCATGCGCGCTGCCCTTCTTTTTGGAATTAATTTTGCTTGGGTTGAGGAAGCTGATCTGTAACTGTTTTGTTGTTTTCCTTCTGGACTCTTTAATGAAATCTATCGATCTTGTATCAAAAGAAAAACTTGTGTGGTGGAGAATTGCCTTTTCAATTGGTAGATGAATTTTACGAGGAAATCTCTTCTTCATCTTCGCTCATTTGATTGACCTGGAGCATTAATCGGCTTGCTATTTTTGTGAGTTCTGATTTTGTTTTTCCATCGATTGAGATGGAAGAAGTAGAGGCTTCTGTAGTATGAGCTACTGGGAATTCAGTATCGACTTGTTCTGTAATTCGGTCGTGCTTGAAATTATCCCACCATTTCACTGTGATTTGGCTGACTACATCTTTTTCTTTCCAGTTGGCGTTGTAATACTATCTACACTAAGGTACGGGAAATTTTTTTTTTTTTTGAACAATTGATATTATCTACACTAAGATGAGGGAGTTAGCCTCACAATGGGTTAACAATAATGTGGTTCAAATTCGTCTTTGACGAGAATCGATCATAAGACCTCGAACTTACAAGTGAAGAGGAATAACACTAGATCATAGTCCTAAGTGGCGGAAATTATTTCCTCTTTGTAGACTCTGTAGTTTGAGGAAAAATACTACCTTCGTTGATGAACCAAGAGCGACTAAAATCCTCAGTTTGATGTAGGAGATGAATTTTTGGTGGACTGGCAAATATGAGGGGAACTTTTGAAGTGACTGAAACCGGGTACTTACTATAAATACAAGATGGGTAGTACTTTTGATCGAATAAGGAGATGGTTTTAGTGACTGGGCAGATGCAGGGGTTGTAACTTTGGATGGTACTGTAGTTACCCTGCGACCTGAGTCCAGACTCCTAAATGCAAATGAACAATTTGTTCAGGTTGATCTGGAGAGACCCTTTGTTTGAGAATACCTTCATAACCAAATTCAGAGGCATCAATTTCAACAATTTTAAAAGAGTTAACCGAAGGAAAGCCAAGACAAGGGAATATTTTGATATATTGTTTGATATTTTTTGACGATTTTGAAAGAATTAACTGGGGCTTATAGCTTGCATTATTGTAGGAATAACTGTCGGAACACGCGTGTGTGACTCTTGGAGCACACATGAACGTTGTCCTCGTTGATTTATAAGACTATCAACAGAAAACGAACTCATCAAAATTAATATATGACGACTTATTCAAAAACAGAAAGAAGTTTATTACTTGAACCGTCCATTTATTCGAGTTCATAAATCTAAGTAACCAAAGAAGAAGGAAAACACTTGATAAATTTACATTTTCACAAGCCACATATCATCTCATATATTCAAAATCTTTCTCCCCAAGCATCAATCTACGCCCTCGACTTCATCACAATGGTGGAATGCTTCAGGATGTGCAGGCTGAACTGCCCACCTTTCTCCGAGGTGTCAAGCTTGGACTGTCCCGGCGGAGGCAGAAGCTCGAAGTTCTGGACTAAACGTCCAATTGTAATGCCTAGGATTGGCAGGGCCAGGATAATCCCGGGACAGCTTCTCCTCCCAACACCAAACGGGAGATACCTAAAGTCGTTCCCGTTAGCCTCCACCTTCGACTCCTCCTCCAAAAACCTCTCGGGCCTAAACTCCTCCGGTTTCTTCCACAGGGCAGGGTTGTTTGCCAACCACCAAGCATTCACCAAAATCTTGCTCTCCGCCGGGATGTCAAACCCGCCGAGCTTGGCGTCCTGGAGGTTCATGTGGGGAACAAGGAGTGGGATTGCCATGCGAAGTCGTAGAGTCTCCTTGATCACGGCTTGCAGGTAGGGAAGTTTCTGAACATCGGGCTCTGTGATCTGAACTCCGCGGCCAAGGACTGCGTCAAGTTCATCCCTCAACTTCTTCTGGATTTCAGGATGGTTCACTAGCTCGGCAATTCCCCACTCGATCGACCACAACGTGGTTTCAATAGCTGTTCAACATAGAAATGTGACATCAGCAGTCTAAAATTAAACAACCTTAATTGAATTTGCACAAAGCTCGTTACAAAGAAAAAATACGATATTGAAATACAACCACATGGTATAACCAATTTTCATTTTATGAAAGAGCGGCGAGTTTACTGTCACAGCACGTCATGTTTGCATGTTAATGTCATGGGGGTTGGTAAAAAGAAGCGAGTGGCATATAAAATGCAAGTTACAAAAAGGATAAGGACAATAAATTGTTTAAAAGGATGCCCAATCAAAGTGGTTTAGCAAATTTACATCAAAAGCAACATACTTGTTCACCAACACGCCAACCACTCCACCTAGATTTGTCAATACCAACTTTAAAAGCAAGCTCGGGTGTGTTTTTAAAATAATTAAAAACATTTTTAGATAAAATATTTTTGGATTTGAAAAACACATAAAATGCTTTATGTAAGAAGCATCAGTTATATACTTCTTTCAGGAAGCACTTTAAGTATTTTTTTAAAATTTATTTTCATGTTTACTAAAATTGATTTTAAAAATATTTTCACCAAAAACATTTTTGATCATCTTAAAAGTATATCCAAACAGACTCAAAATAGTTTTTTGTCTCTTTTTCTTTCTATAAAAGTGCTATACCACACGAACACGATTATATATTGGTGACCCATACACAAGGATATACTCACACGAAAATATATATGACACGATAAGTATTTGACCTAAACTAGTATGCCAACTGGATGAAAATGAGACAACTACAGATGGGCACGTCTCCAATAGAAACTTTGTGGGCTCTTGCAATAATACGTAAGCAAACAATATAACGTAACATCATGGGGTCCTCTAGGCCTTCTACGACATATCAAGCAATAGCATACGTGGGAGCCAATAAACCATACAAAATGTTTCATATTTTAGTGACTCCATCACGAAACCAAAAATAT